TCACTGCTCATACTAAATATGTCGTTAATTTAACTGAGATAGAGAGAGATCTCTTGTCGAGGGAGAAAGAGAATGTCATTCCCTCCTTCTCGTTCCACATCGCATGAATGCGGAGCGGCTGCGGAGCGAGAAAGAGGGAATGACATTCTCTCTCGAGTGCACGTACACGAGAAGCAATAATGCATGCGCGCTTATACATGTATATTGACAGTTCAAGCGCTAAGCGTACATGTATCTGGCTCCTCTTTGTGTGCGTAGGAGCCGCGTCTACTGCCCAGCATCGCTGCCGTGACGATCACTGTGAAAAAAATAATGCGTGCACGGAGAAAGAGATGAAACGTCATATATCTATCTCCTTCTGTTACTCGTCGCCCGACGTTCCAAGCGCACACGTACACGGACGCACACACGGAGCTATCCATTTCAGTATAGCTCCGAACGATCCGCCTCTCTGGCCTATGAGATAGGCCCGCGAGTAATCGTCCATTTTCTTCGCCGACCGCTGCGAGCCGTATGTTCCGCCTGTCGCGTCGCGCGTTCCAATTTGTCCAACTATTTTAATTAATATCTCGAAATTTTACGTGGTTGTTTGAAAAATAACCTATACAATTTTTGTTCACTTTTAAGTGTTCTACTTATATTTTTCTTTTGGTCCGTCTTACACGGGACACCCTGTATATACATATATATATATATATATTTATATTTATATTTATATATATAGGGTGTCCCGCGTAAGACGTACGAAAAGAAAAATATAAGTAGAACACATAAAAGTGAACAAAAATTGTATGTCATTTTTCAAACAACCACGTAAAATTTCGAGATATTAATTAAAATGTTTGGGCATATCAGAGCACGGCGACGCGGCAGGCGGGATATACGGTTCGCCGCGGCCGGCGAAGAAAATGGAAGAACGCACACGTACACGGACACACACACGGAGCTACTCATTTCACTAAGCCAAACAGCCCACCACTCTCTGGTCTAGGCCTGCGAGCAATCGTCCATTTTGTTCGCCGGCCGCGGCGAGCCGTATGTCCTGCCTGCCGTGTCGCCGCGCTCTGATATGCTCAACTATTTCAATTAATATCTCGAAATTTTACGTGGTTGTTTGAAAAATGGCCTATATAATTTTTGTTCACTTTTCTCTGTTCTATTTATATTTTTCTTTTCGTACGTCTTACGCGGGACACTCTGTATAAATATACAGGGTATCCGAAACCTTTCTTGACATAAGTTGTAGGAACATAGAACGGATTAAATGGAACAGAAAAGTCAAATACCATTTTGCGAAATTCGCAATAATTTTCAAGGAATTAATTATTTTGTCTGAGCAAATAAGCCCTCGAGCCAGCGCGCGACTGATACGCGCGAATAGCGGCGCGCGATCATGATACACGCAAATCGCGACTCGCTGCGTCCCTTTGCCGATAGTTACGATGTGTCTCGTAGCTATAGTTACCAAAGTTACAAGATAGAGCGTAGCTGTGGGCAGAGGGACGCAGCGAGCGGCGATTCGCGTGTATCACGGTCGCGCGCCGGCCCAAGCGCTAATTTCCTGGGACAAAATAATTACTCGAAAATTATTACGAATTTCGCAAAATAGTATTTGACTTTTCTGTTCCGTTTAATCCGTTCTACTTTCTAACGAATTTTGTCAAGAAAGGTTTCGGATACTCTGTATATATATATAAATTGTTGTATGTATTTTTCAAACTAACTTATCGTTTACTCTTAAATACACATGTTAAGTTAAAAATATAAGTGTAATAATCGCGTCACTATTTTGCCAATATACATTGTACTAATATTTATCGCATATTAACTGTTTTCGTTTTCAATATCTGTTAATAAATATAACATTACAATATTTTGTAAGCACATAAAGATACATTATATAAACACAAGTTATGAAGGTGAGAGATTAGATCGTCAGAGCCATTTGAATCATTACTACTTGTTTGATCACCAAGGTTTGTGCAACAGCAACGAAGACTAGGACCCAAACTAGGAAATGGGATGACTGGTGCAGTTCGAGTTCGAAACCACGCAGAAACACGTATAAGGGAAGCGCCGCAAAATATGATGTACCAATTTTTTTTTATTATTTTAACAAAATAATCAAACATTAAGTTATATGGGAGTGCGTGTGACTGTATTTGTGCATGCCTGTGTGTTAATAATACTTTATATATTTGGTATTCTGATGTTCTGAGAATATTCCATGTATATCCTCAGAATATCATGGACAATATTCTGAGAATATCCTGAGAACTAGAAAAGAGCGGAAGTAGGAATATCCTGAGTATATTGTGAGTATATCCCAATATATCCCAATATGGAGTATATGGAGTATATCCTACATATATCAGATGATATTTTTAGAATATTCTCAGAATGTTATGTGCTATCTAGGTTATCATGTATATCATAGTTTTGAAAATAGACAAATGCATATTTAATGTAACTACAATTGCTAAATGTAGAAATATAGTTCTTAGACTGTAACAAGTGAATACATGTTTATATGTTACATATATAAATCAAAAAATAAAAAATGTACTAAAGTTAAAATAAATTAATATACATTATTATTTAAAAGTATTTTCACACATATACTTTTTC